GACTTCCGCGCATCCCCCAGAGACGCCGTCATTTTAGTTCCCGTAGCCGCCACAGGCGGCTGCAGATCGGCAAATAATTCGTTTTTTGCCTTGCGATTACGCAGCAGAATAGCCATTTTTTGGGTAAAGGTGACTCATTTTTGGTCACTTGGCTTGTATAAACAATATAAAAAATGCAAACTGGCAATTCTTTCAACATTAAAAGGGCCCTGCAATGACTTTTCCACTAATTTTTAATTTGCATCGAACCTGAGTGCACTGGACGTAGGAACTTAGTGAAACTTTTCTTTTCTCAAAATTCACTTTTTTTTAAAAGTTATGGGCAAATTAAAATTATAAAAACAAGCAAAAAATAACCTTCCTCATGACGTCCTTGGTTGCTTGAGTGGCCGTGAACTAGAGGAGGGGTAGTGAGCTCGGCGACCGCTCACGGCTGCCGCACTCCGTGTTGACGGCTCGAGAGGGCGCCACTAAAGCATATTCTGGATAGGCTGTATGCAGTGGGAAGCCAGAGCGGCTTTCATTGCATTTGCTGCGCAATTAAACACTAATTCGGCTTGACACTTCATTAGCCACAAACGACAGCAAGCACGTGGTAAAGATCAGTTCAGAATGGGAGCCACTTCGCGCTGCCATGCGGCAAAACGGCCAAACCGCTAGACAAAGCTTCACGCCGAAAGCCTTCGGAACACTCGGAGCCGGTCGGATCCTCCTGTCCACACGACCGCAGCACCGCTGCGTACATCCGAGACCTTTCCGTGTCAACGCCCGATGCCACTACTCCTTTCTAGTATGCGCCGCCTTTTGCACCGCTTGGTGGCGGGTATGTCGGCGGGTCATTTCTTGTTTCCGTACTTTATAAACTGCATTCGTTTCTTTTCTAATCTCAAATTCTGAACAAAAACTACTTTTATAAATAATTGAAACTGTGCGCGCCACTTATATTTTGTATTTCGACCAAAAAGAAGCTTTTAGCGGCTCTGACCAGTAGTAAGCCCAGGACCAAAGACGTCACATTTTGCGCGCTTTCGGTACCGCAGGTCGCCTTCGTCGGTGGAGGAGGTTTCCGCTTCGTCCGGTTAAAATATGACGCACTGATATTTAGTTACTCTCTCCGTGCCCGCTGGCTTGCCCAAACCCCGAAGGACGTGGAAACCGCAAAAAAGGTAGGCGCTTAAATATGATTGCAGGGCCCCTTTAGAACCGTTGCACTGCCCCTTTAAGCAGCTGCTTCACTGTCTGTATGGTCCTTTCCACCACCCCATCACTCTGTGGATAATATGGGCGGCTTGTTACATGGTGTGATCCCCCACTCCTTCACAAACTTTTTTAATTCGGCGGAAGCAAATTGGGGCCCATTGTCGGACCAAATGATGGCGGGTGCTCCGAAACGGGCAAACATCTGACTGAGTTTTTGTACGATGTCTTGCGTTGTTGTCCTTTTTAATTTCTCAAGTTGAAAGAACCTAGAGAAATAGTCTACCACCACAAGGTAGTTCTCTCCATTTTTGTAAAAGAGGTCCGTGCCTACCACTTCCCATGGGAGATTCGGGAGCGGAGCGTGTAGCAGGGCTCTGTGCCAGGCTTCTGGTGTGTCGTGCACACTGGACATTTTGAGACGTAGACTTGAACACTTTTGCTGATGCCAGGCCCCCAAGCTGATTGACTGGCCCACGCTCTGCAACAACCTACGCCATGATGGCCTGTGTGCAGGCTTTCCAGCACCTCGTCCTGCATGCTTGGCGGGATGACAATGCGACTTCCCTTGAGGAGAAGTCCCTCGACTACCGTGAGCTCTTGGGACACGTTGGCATATGTTTGTACTGCAAGTGGCAGTGACACGCCCCTGGCCACGTTGTAGAACAATAGTTCCTGACTGTCACGATAGTTGGATATTGCTTCTGTTCTTTGATCCTCTCCAGCATGTTTGTAGAAGTTCTACGCTGAGAAGTCCCGCCCATGACAAAATGCTGTGTGAGGGGGAGGGGGGAGAGGAGGCCCCAGCAAAATTGAAAATTTTTGGGGGGTGGATACATGCCTGGTCCCTTCGCTGGCTTCCTTGTGGTCTGCCTTATGGCGCACTCTTCATACTCTGACTCTCACGACACAGCCATACTCCTAGGTATTTATACTTCTCTACATGTTCTATTAAAACGTCTTGAATGTTCAGTGGGTCCAGTAAAGGTTCTTTTACTTCGTTGTTCGGTCGACGATGGATGTTTCGTCGCTGCTGGGCGTCGCTTGTTGAGAAGCTTCCGGACGTCCAGCAATTCCGCACACACCTGTGACTTCGATGGCAGACCACCAAACCGCTCAGACGTTCGTAAAGATGAAAAGTAATATTATAGAAAATTCAGGACTGTCAATCAAGCAAGGTTTCAGAAATAGTATGGTGCCAGATATCGGCACACTTGTTGCCGGAGTGTGGGTTAGGAGGGTGCTGCTGAGAAGTCCGTCTCTCTCCGCTCCCAGTTCCAGACTCACTCATTCCGCGGGAAAAGACCAAAGCAAACCTCTCAAATCCAAGCCAGCGAAACAAACCAAAGCAAGCTTCTCAAAGTAAAGCAAGTGACAACAAATCAAAGCAAACTTCTAAAAGCGAAGCAAGCGGCAACAGAACCAGAGCAAGTGGGAAATGAGTTTTCAAAGAATACGTTAACAAGGTCCCACTTCTTTGCAGTGGCGTCCGGGGAGCCGCGGAGGGGTCGCTCTGGTGAGGCGAGGCTAGCCCCGCGCCCCGGTTATAACTCGCACGGACGGTCCCCAGGTTCCAGATGGCCCCCGCGCCCTAGTTAGCGAGCGGATGACACCGGACAAAAGGCGCATCTTCGAAGAAAGCCTGTTGGTCCGAGCAGATTTCGTTCTTTGGCATTCCGCCGCTTAATATAACATGGAACAATCTTAAACGAAAATAAATGGGGTTTTGCCACACTGCCTTACAGGTCCCCCTTCTCATTGTTATAAACCATTATTCCTTACTTGTCGCTACTGAATTTCAGGCCCAGAGAGTCTCCTTCCTCTCCACAGATCCTAATCGACTCCTGTAACATATCCATCTGCTAACAGTACAATGTCGTCTTCGTAGAACATTCCTGGTATAACTTGGTTTACTTTTCTACCTCTCTCCATATATGTTACATCAAAACCTTAATTGCACTCTTCTAATTTCTTTTCCATTCTTTTCCATTCTACTGCCCGAGTCCTTTTTATTTCTGCCGGTTCTGTTATTTCTTCTTCCTATGTTATAACAACCTTATTGTTTGTGTATACCCGTTGTAAAAGCCTAATCAAGTGTGCATCAAATCATACTCTCTCAGCTGTACCTAAAGTTTTTCCTGACTCACATTGTCATATGCGTCTTTAATGTCTAGAAATGCTATCCATAACATTGTTTTACTTACCTGTGCCACTTCTATACATTGAGTGATGATGAATAAGTTATCATCTACTCTTTCTATCTCTTTGGAAGCCGTTCTGTAGCTCACCTAAAATGTTTTCTGCCCATTCTAGCCATTCTTTTTACTACCTGCATCACTAGCCTGTACAGGGAAGACGTTAGTGTCATTGGTCGGTATGATATTATGCTATCCTTATTTCCCTTGCCTTTATATAGTAATTTCATTCTGCTTAGTTTTCAATCATTGGGTACCTCTCCCCCCATTATTATTTGATCAATTGCCTGTCTTAACTTTAATTTGCTCTTTGTTCCTAGTGCCTTGACTAGTCTCATTCCTATGCCATCTGGGCCTCTGGCCGTTCCAGCCGGTACTTTACTTTCTGCTCTGTCCCATGCCCCCGCGGTCATCTTGGTTGCCTCGTTAGTCTTGTTTTTGCTGTTCTGTTGTTTTTGTCTAATCTGGCTTGCAGCCGACATCGCAATGGGAATGGTTCTAATAAGGTGATTTTGTGAATATTTCCTAATAAATGCTTCCATGATGCCCATTTGGGGATGGTTTCGTTCACTCTACCGTAAAATCCCGAGAGATAGCCCACGTAACATCAACAGCAAATCGGGTGAAAATATGGAGTGGGCTAACTTTCAATGTACAATCAAGAAAAGTTAAAAAAATTGCTATTGTAAGGTTGTGTCCCTTCCGGCAATGAAGCAAAGATATCTGTACTTCTCAGTCAGCAATGTTCGCGTATATCCCACCATAGCTAACTAGCCGCATTTACGCCGAGGCCATCACTGATCCCAGCACTACGATTAATAGGAATGGGCTATCTTTCGGTGTTTAAAAAAGTATAGCAAACCAAGCCAGAAATAGGGGTGGGCTATCCTTCGGGGGTGGGGCATCTCTCGGGATTTTACGGGTATTATCTTTTTTTGATTAGGTCTGTTGAGTCAAACATGAAAAATGTCAAGCACACGTAATATTTGCATTAGGCATTTAATTTGCCTTCGTGAGATGTTTCTGTTAATTTGGGTGTCCTACGTTTTGTGATGTCGCTGTAGTGGACTATTTCACTCTCGCAGGTATGCGACGCGAAGAGAAAGGATATCGAGACCAGTTTGATAGATAGAAAGAAAAATAAACTTTAGATTTGGACAGATAATACAATGATTAAAACAAAAAGTACAAGATTCAAGCGTGAATGACATAAACACAGAAAGAAAAGGAAAAGAAACAATACTGATGTAAGTCTTACAATTCACGGATGCGGCGAGCTTCATCAGAGTTCATTTTCTCGTTGGTGGTGCAGCGGCGGAGTCCAGGTTTGGTTGTGCCGTCTTGGCGGAACGAGGTCTTGCGTAAAGCTGCAAGACTTCGATGTGGGGTGAAGACCTTGCGTATAGCTGCAAGCCTTAGCCCCCGTGAGCTTGATGATTGCCCTGTCCGTACCGAGAACGTTTTTTACTTTGTCTTCGTCTCTCGTCTCAGTTTTTTTTCTTGTGCAAACTGCTCGCTCTTGTCTCTTTCTCTTCTTCATTTTCTTGCTCCCACCTTGCTGACCCCAAAATCACTACAGTCCCATTAAAAGTCCTATTCTCGCCTTCTTTCCAGATGTCTGTGCCATGCTATGCCACCCGGAAGCCCAAGCGCCTAAATTTTTTCAAGGAACCCAGTGCAAAAGGTAAGCCATGCCTTCACCATTGCAAGTGCTTCTGACACAAGAGGGCTAATCACAGGAGAACACTGCACTGGTTTATCTGGACACAAACGGCTGACACATAATTTGCGAGAAACATGGGTTTTGAGGAAAAAGAAGAAAAATGCCTATTTTTTTTACGCTCTCATATTTGAATTGAACCTGCAGGGTTCATATGTCCTATGCGGAGGGCAAGTTTGTCTGCTTCTTGCGCAGGGGGCAGCGGTGACGTCAGAACGCCGAGCCCTGATTGGCTGATCGCTACCCCCTATCTGAGCGTCGTCTGCGTCTGTCTTACCTTTCCTGCGACTTTCGGAAGTGCAGATCTTTACGAGCGAGCTCGACTTCGCCTTTCAGAGAGGGCAGACGAAATAACTCGAGCGATACATTGTTTTTGTCTAACAACTAGCAGACGTGCATCAAGGAGGGAAGTCAAAGTACTCACTGGCGAGGTGTTCGAGGCACCGAGGTATTTTTGCTAAGAACCAAGAGTGAGGGTGGTTAGTGTCCGCAAGTTCCCTCCCAAATACTTTTTTCCTTCTTTAGTGTGCGGCGAGACTCCTCACTCCTTAATGGCGTCGGCGGGTTGGCGCAGTTAACGTCGTCTGCTTTACGTCTGCTAGTCAAAGCGGTGGCTGCTTTACCTTTCCTCTGTCTGTCGGAGATTCACCGCTTTTTTACTGGCGAGAACGCGGCCTTCGAAAAAGGCGAAGGGAAATACCTTGAAGTGTACATCCTTTCTTTTGAGGTGAAGGATTTCACTCTAGTTGCGAATGTCCAGGCAGCTACGTGGTAAAGATGATGCTTTCCGATAAAGGTGACATTTTAGAGAGTCACTGTGAGTGTCCTCGCGGGGCCGCCATGTGCAGCCACATGGTGGCTACCGCACTTTACGCGGCTCTAAATGGACTGTCCAAGATGGACCTTCCACAGCAGTGGCTGCAACGCCCCAAGAGCAGCATGCCGCGACAGGTCGCTCGCTCAGGTAAGAAGTAAACACCATGTTCATCGCTATGCTAAACCTGTAGTTGCACGCGTTTCGTGATTAGTACCTCGCGTTTAATGAGTTGTTCAAAGATAATCAGCTAAAGACAGATGACAGCCGATGTAGTGACTGTAAATAAACAACTGCGGCTGTGCGATCGGTACTGTGAGCACATCAGCCCCAAAGTGCTCGATCGCTACTTGTTGTCACAACTTTCTCGCTCGACTAAAAGGCTGATGTCAGAGCGTATTGGGGTATGTATGTGTGGCGTAAACCCAAGTGGCAAAAGTTTGAAAACTTGTGCTAATCTCTGGAAAAGAATCCGAGCAAGATCGATCGAGCTACCCGAGCGGCGTCAAACATATCACGAAAGTTATGTCGTAGACTCGTTGACACCAAGAAGTAATTATTGTTATAATGCAATTAAATGCAAAGGCGCAAGTGAGCTGAACAAGAATGATGAAAATAATCCCTGGAGCAGGGGAACAAGAGGGACAAAGGACAAACACAAATCTTTTTCGAAGGCCGCGTTCTCGCCGGTGAAAAAGCGGTGAATCTCCGACAGACGCAGGAAAGGTAAAGCAGCCATCGCTTTGATTAGCAGACTTGCGGACACTAACCACCCTCACTCTCGGTTCTTAGCAAACAAACCTCGGAGCCTCGGGACACCTCGCTAGTGAGTCCTTTGACTTCCCTCCTTGATGCGCGTCTGCTAGTTGTTAGACAAAAACAATATACCGCTCGAGTCATTTCGTCTGCCCTTTCTGAAAGGCGAAGTCTCGCTCGTAAAGACCTGCACTTCCAAAAGTCCCAGGAAAGATAAGACAGACGCAGACGACGCTCAGATAGGGGGTCGCGATCAGCCAATCAGGGCTCGGCGTTCTGACGTCGCCGCTACCCCCTGCTCAAGAAGCAGACGAAATTGCCCTCTGCATTGAACGTTCATGTGGCAACAAATTTGAAAACTCAAACTAGAGACAAGGTTGCAAGCAAGCTTGAGTAGGCTAAACATAATTAATTTAACTGACTCTAGTATTTCCTAAAGGACGACACTAAGGCATTTGAACGACTGTATATTCCGATATTGTCGCATTTCTCGAGCCCAAATGTTGCGAGATGTCCCACAAAAAGGGTTTTATCGTTGCTCTCTTTTCAGAAGCGTGCCCGCTGATGGCTGAGCATTTCAGCAGAAATGTACCTAATAAAAGAACCTGGGAATCATCTGTAGGATATCCTGGCATTTCCTCCGAATGCCCTGCAGTCATCCATGATGATTTGTCATGTAGCGTTGCCAACGGCCGCCAATTCTACCTTTCAGTAATGTTACATCAAAATGTTGCAGTAACCCCACACAACACGAGTACATCCCAGGGCCACCCCTGGGAAATCTCATTGTGATATTGCAGTATCCAACGGACGTGTACCAATATATGCCAGATATTCTGGGGACGTCCTTAGGATATTTACCCCAGGAATTCCTGGGATAAACTCAAAGTAGCCATAAATTTCAAGGGGGGGGGGGGGGTTATTATTCTACGGTACTGATAGATGTAGGCTGTTTAATTGAGAATCTTGTTCAATGTACTCAACTAAAGTTTGAATATCAAGAGTTTGTTGCTGCTCAGAGGACAAAAAAAAAATGATTTGGTTACTTACATCTATTAAAGGGGTACGGAAACAAAAATTGAAATATTAAAATTTCGTTCGGAAATGAGTCAAGCATGACGGATAATAACCGTAAATGATAATCGCACGTTTCTATTTTGAACGACTATTTTTCGTTCCAAACGGTGCACTCGAGCAAGCGCTCGAAGAGAAGCGAACGGAGAGCGCGATGCGTCATAGGATATCCGGCGCAAAAGAAAACAAAAAAAAAAATTTCCCGCATTCGTGACGTAGCAAGGCTGGCGTGGTTATGAGCTTTGCCCTTGGTGGCGTCAGCGTTGTGGTGGTGTCAATAGCGTCAGCGCGTTACAACCGAGCCGTTCGAAGTACCCGTGGGGTGACGAGCGTGTGGCTGGCCCAAGGAGCACATAGCTTCCACAACACTCAGCTTAGGGCTGAACGGGGTGGGGAAAGCAACTTTTGTTCGAGTTTTGAGCGACGGGCTAATCTTCTAGGGGAGGTTGGCTGTGTCCGGTTGCACGAACGAGGGTCCGAGAAAGAGGGGAGTCCTTCCTTTCCGTCTTCTTGGACCGTTTGGTACAATGCGTGACTTGTGAGTTGGGGAGGAAAGCTAAGAGGGAAAATGTTGAAATGCCAAAGAGCGGCGCTGCTCCGAAGGAATCTGCTACGTCACGACTACGTAGCAGATTCCACAACGTTGCTAGACTACCTCTGAAATAGGCTCCGCATGCATCCCCCAGGTGCACATTGAAAGATTGTTTATTTAGCTTTAAAATTAGTTTCCTTGTGCCTTTCAACGGAAGACTGGTGTTTTTGAGGTTAAGGTGCAACATGCAACACATTCAAGCGAGAAAATGAGCGCTGGAATTTCGTTTCCCTACCCCTTTAAACTTTTTCAAAACTCGTCTAGTCCTTAATCTCATCATGACAATATTTTTGGATCTAGTAATTATTTATTTATTTTTTTATTGATGCTACACCTCTGATTGGTGATTTTGTAGTAGTGGGCAGTAAACAATTATCACTGCTAATACACTGAGAGAAAAATCAACAGGGTCAGCACTATGCATAATAATGTCAACACTTTCAGGTGTACATAGAAAGGGAATCTTAACATCATGATACATATCAGGTTTACACAGCAGAGTCCACCGAGCACAAAGCGAAAAATTTAAGAAAAATGGCAATAAAGCATGCATACAAATTAGGCGCATTCGGCTTGTATGACATCATTAGGCAGAGAATTCCGGTCAAGTATTGTCCTGGGAAAAAAAAGAAAATGTAAATGTGTCTATTTTAGAAGTATGTTCAACAAGGGCCATAACGCTCTGCAATCTAGAGGGGTAGCATGGTGGAGGGTGGCGGCAAATGTAGTTATTCTTGTTCAGATTAAAGCGGTCATAAGATAAATTAGACAAAATTTTAGCCTGTTGATTTTACGACGAAGTTCCGAGGGTTGAAGACCAGCGATCGCGTACAGTTCTGTTACAGAGTCAGTACGAGAGTACTTATTTTAAAAGCATAATCTTTTTCTTTGGACTTTTTCAGTTAAAATAATGTTAGATCCTGTAAAAGAGTCCCATTCTATATCAGCGTACTCAAGAACTGATCTAACAAATGTTTTATATGCTGCTAATTTAACGGTAGATGATACAGATTTTCAGTTTCCTTCTTAAGTACCAAAGTTTATTTAATGCAAGGCGTGTAGATGCGTGATGTGGGAGTTCCATCGTAAATCATTTGTGATAATGACTCCAAGGTATTTAAATAAGGTAAATAGTCAAAGAGGATATTATAGTTAAAAAGGGAAGTAGTTTTTTTTTTCACGTTATACGCATAGTTTAAGGACATTTGCCACTCCTTGCACCACTTGTTAACTTTATTTAAACCAGCACCGAGTTCTTGATCCGCGATTGATCTTACTTTGGTGTACAGTCTCCGGCAATATGAAAGACCCACTGGGAGTGCGTGGCCGAAGTGGGGGCGCTGCGAGCGCTCCGGGCAATTCCATTCTGCTTCGAGGAAAGGATGCTCACTCGGGCTCAGCTAAAGCTAAACGCGCTTATCAGTTTGTGCTGAGCCCCGAGCGAGCGTCCTCCCCTCGAAGCAGAATGGAATTGCCCGGAGCGCTCGCAGCGCCCCCGCCAGCCACCGCCTCAGCCACGCGCTCCCAGTGGGCCTTTCATATTGCCGGAGACTGTACACATAATATCGTCAGCAAAAAGGTGTATTGTCGCAGGTATATTATGGGCAATGTCTAGTGTTGTGCGAATATTCGAGTTTCGAATAGTACTCTATTCGATATTCGCTTCGAAAACAGTTGTAATATTCGTGCTTTTCGAAGTGTTCGCAAACTCAGGGTCGCAAGTTTGTTTACTGTCTAAAGACCAGAAAAAAACGATATCTAAAATCAAGAATATACTCACACGTTCGTAAAAATGGTATAAATATTATCGTAATAATTTCATCAACTTTTTTAATAACGGGCAAAAGAAACCGAGCAACGAACTCCAAAGACGCCGACGCCATCTTTGCCAATCTTGGCGCCCTGGTTGCCAGCACTCTTTTCTCACCACCGCCGCATCCAGACATAAATTTAGAAAAACATGTTTAGGATAAAAATAAATACCTTTAGAAATTTCTCAAACATGCATAATTGCTCAGAAACTTTTATTTCCGATAAAACTCTCAAACACGGTTTCAAAACATTTAAACTATAATATTTTATCACAGTGACAAGGTGAGTGAATGACATCGACATTGTCAAAATGACAGCAGCTAAGTCGGTTGGCAAGATGGACTAACGACAGCGTGAGAAGTCCAGTTTGGAAGTATTTCTGTAAACTTCCCTCTAAAAATGGCCAAGTTTTTTGAACGGCAAATATTCAATATTCGATTCGAAAATATTCTACCGAACTCACGATTCACTTCGAATTCGATTCAAACTCAAAATCCACCATTCGCACAACCCTAGTAATGTCGTGGATAAAAATGGAAAAAAGTAAAGGTTCAAGCATTGATCCTTGGGGAACTCGCGAATCTACATTGGACTGGGATGATTTGCAGCCATTTACTTCAACATATTGATGTCTATTGCTGAGGTATTCTCAAAGCCATAATATTAGCTTCGCCTTTAGTAAACCTGAAGATAGTTTGGCTAGAACCTTACGTGTTCTAGTGACGTTGTGTACAATTTGAAGAAGGTTTGCATGGAATGCCATATCGATTAAAAGCTCGGAGTTGGGACAAGCATTGCCCGATGCACAGAGTGATTTCCACTCTGTGCATAACATAATTGCTATGATACTCTAGGACGGATTTAGGTGCATGAGGCGGGCAGTAGACCACGCCAGTAATCAGTGGAGGGTTAAAGGAGGGAATTTTAACAAAAACGTATTCAATCTAGGGTAATTTGTCAAGCTCCTGAAAGCTGAAGCTGCTTTTTATTACGAGACCAACGCCTCCTCCCCGACTCACGATCGCAACATACAATATTATAACCAAGAGGTAAAATTTTGCTGTCTGTTACTGCAGTATGCAGCCACGTTTCCGTTATGGCCACGAAGTCTGGGTCATGCTCAACTAATACCTGTTCAAAGTTGGTTACCTTATTAACAAGACTGAGTTAATTAGTTTTAATTGCCTAAATAAGTTGTCATCGGGTCATAATACAGGCATGTCATTCGACAACCTGGGGTGTAAGGATACAACGGTTGGCGTCTGATCAGGATTGGTAGTCGATAGCAACACATTCACATTCTGGGCCTCATCCCATACATAGAGATTAACACCAACTCGTATGTCGAAAATAATCCCGGGAGAAGGGGAACAAGAGGGACACAGGACAGACACCTAGCTGTGTTTGGAGATTTGTGTTTGTCCCCGTGTTTCCCTTCTCCAGGGATTATTTTAGTCATTCTTGTCCAGCTCGCTTGCACCTTTGCATTTAATTGCATTAAAATCGCCAACTCATAGCTTATCATGGACGAGGAACGCTTTTAGGCCCCTTGCCTTATCACCTGCAGCACTATTCCATAGCATCTTTTGTTTTAACAGCGTGGCTTGCGAATAATCATTTTGAATAAATATAGATGAGACTTTTAGTTTTTTAACATAACTAAGTATGTTAACTTTTTCGACATAGTCTCGGAAAAACAAGATCCCATGGTGTTTTCCTTTATTTTTTCCGAGCCGATGGATTCTAGCCAAATATATCGACAGTCACTGGTGTTCTTAATTGGACCTCCATTTTACTAAACAATTCAGGAAGGCCGAAAACGACCAGATTTGAGCGACGACTTCTATCTTCAAAATTTGTTGATTTGTCATTTGTTCCCATGCGGTTTCTCGCAACGAGGCAACTGCCGCTTAATGGACATCTGTCTGGTCAGTCATGGCCTTAAAATCACTCAGTAGTGAATCAATTTCTGCGAACCTTGTATTTCGTTGCGTTTTCAATTCGAGGAGGTCATTTTAATCGTGTTTTGGCCCTCCATTAGTGTTTGGAACATTTCCTCTACTGTTGGGCCAGGATTGGATTCAACATCACCGCAGATGAAAAGTTTGCAAGTATCAAAACACCCAAATGCAATACAACAAAGGGTTCGTGGGCATGGTACTAGGGT